TTATGATATCTTATAAATTATTTAAGAAAATAATAATAAAATTGGAAAACTACTACAAAAGTATATGTGTTATTACAATGAAGATAATTTTAGTTCTAAGAAAATTTCTCCCAATATTTTGAATTTATAAAAACAAAAGTTTACCAAGCACTAGGATAGAACTAAAAATAAATAAAAAACGTTAACTTGAAACAAAAAAGGGGCATGACAAGCACGACAAAATGTGTTCGGTTAAATTTTATTTATTTAATTCAAATTTCATTAATACAGCCAAAATCGAAAAGAAAATGCAAAATGGAAATTGAGACCGTAACTAACCCAATTTTAAAAGACTGTATCTAAAGAAGAAGCCGTTGGAATGGAAGTCGAAGACGCAAAGCACCCAAATGGCTCATTTTCTTTGTTTATGTGAAAAAGTTACAGTTGAAGATTATCCAAAACTGTCCTCCATTGTCAAATTGTTCTTATCTTCATTGAATCTGTAAAAACCCAACAACTTTTATTACCTTAAGAAAAAATCAATGACTAATAACCAACGTACCATTCCTGGTTAGTACCTAATCCCATTTATTCATCAGTTGCTCTTCCAGAAAAATATCCTTTCAATTGAAGGGGTTACCTAAAAAAGTGAAAGACAATTATTGTATGTGGATTCAAATCACAATGCAACATTTGTTTTAGTTTCGCTAATAGAGCCGTTTAATCCTTGAATTATCCTGCAATATGTAGGTATATATACATAATAAATGTTTCCACCTTTCGTTCATGAAAAAATAAAAATTTTTTAACTAATTGAAAAACGCACAAAATTTTAATTTCTATTATTTTAGCAGAAATTTTCCCTTTTAGTAAATTTAATAGGCTTTAAAAGTTATTATTTTTTAATATTAATACAACAAAAGGCTCACCCTACGAAATCAAAGGAATATCAACTTGTTCCACTTTTCAAAAAGGTAAATATGCATAAATTTTCGAGATACTTTCCACAAACAATTAGTTAGTTTCCACTGAAACGAGCTCGCGCATCGTACTGAAGGCATAAGCCACGATGATTGTGGCCTTCAATGAAAAAGACTGCTGGCGCCATCGCCACTCTCAGTACGGAGAGCTTTTAAACTATTTATCAATGTTCCGATAAAATTGAAGGCCAGATACAAACATTAAAATCAAATTTGAAACTGAATATTTTTCATTAACAGCAACATTAATTTACATATTCTAGTAATATTTTTGTTTTATAGATAATGTAAATGCGTATTTGTAGTAATGTGAAAGAATTTTAAGAATATTTGGTTTGACAATATGTTACAAAAAAAAACAATTAAGTATTTGAACAACAATTGCATCAAACGCAATAACAATATCAAATAATTTTTTAGGAAAACAAATAATTCTGAAACAACAAGATAAAAGAGAATATACGTGAAATTTAAATGAATAAAAATTATAGTAACTTAACTTTTATATTTAAAGTAAAGCAATGTCAAACAAATGAACATAATACGTATTATAAGTGTGACTCACACATACCGATAAACGTATTCCTTTTGTCAGATTTGTACAGCGAGCGGGTTATCTCTTTATAAAAAAGGAGATTGTGACGAGGCAAGCAGATAACATAGCCGAATTGCCTTTATTTTATGTTATATACATAGGTGATGTCCATTTATATTACTATTAAAACATTTTATAATAAGAAAATGCAAAAATAAAAATAAAAGCAACTTCTTGAAAAACGCAATAAAGATAAGGACTAAAAGGATTATAACATTTCATCGAATTTGAAAGGTAATCATAAGGTCTATAATCATCTATACTACATTGATGTACAGGGTGTTTGATGTTACAATAATTATAATAATAAAGGAATGACAATATTGCAAAAAAAGAGAAGAATAAATTGTTGATTTTATTATTGCGTCAGTCTGTTTTTAAACGTTTGATTTTCAACCGCTACGAATCAACATTGGGAATTGGTAAATGTCACTAGGAAATAATTTTATACTTTAAACTCTCAAAAAAGTTATAATCTACTAAGATAAGTTTAAATGAAAGAAGAAGCAACTTACAGGATAACTGATGAAATCCAATGCAGAGGTAGATACATTCTCACAGTCCCTTGCAGAAAGCAGAAGGTAACATTTACCAGTCAGTGAGTACAGCACCAGGAAAACGTAGAAATTCCAGGTCTAAAACAATTACACAGTTTAGAAAACATATAAATGAGATGAAGTACATAAATGAATAACACTATAACCTAGGTTCGAAAGGTATTTAATCAGATGCAATCGCTACTACTGTTTCGCTACAGAGTAACTTCATCAAGCGTTGAAATCTAATGAAGGTATTGTACGGATTGTAAACAAAGATTTAGCTCAATGTGCTATATATTTTTACAAAAGACGATGCAGTAGAGTCTTGGAGCCCTTTATGACAAAGCCTTACGTTAGACAGTATGCATTGGTCAATCAAAAAGGTCCATTAAAATTAAACTTAAAGAACACATTTACGTAATACAAAAATGTAAAAATTTACAGAAGTCTATCAACATTGTTAAATTTTAAAGTGATTTGTACTCGTAATATGATACAATTCATCATCATAAGGTCGTCAGTCCTATCACAGTTTGGAGAAGCGCCTCCACTCCTTCCTATCCTGAGATAATCTTCGCATTTCCCTAAAACTAGAACATTCCACATCCTTAACTATTTGCAATCTAGGTCTATTTCTACTCCTCTTAACTCCTGTTCCTGCCTCTAATATGTCTGTGACTAGATCTTTATTCCTGAGAAGGTGTCCTACCAACCTATCTCGCCTATTTTTTACTGACTTCCATAGAGACCCCTGTTCTCCTATTCCTTCTAATACCTCTTTATTTCTAATCATCTCTATTCACAGTATTCTCATCATTTGTCGGTAACACGACATTAAAAACGCTTTTAACTTTTTCTTTTCCAACGCCCCCATCGTCCATGTTTCGCACCCCTTACAGCGCCGCGCTCCAAACATACACCTTTAATATTTTTTTTCAAATTTCTAAATTAATCGTTCCCGAGCATAGAAGTGACTTCCTTTTGTTGAAGGCGACTCGTCCCCGCGCTACCCTCTGCTTTATATCCCTACTACTCTTTCCGTCCTTACTTGTCTGATTTCCTAGATACCTAAAATCAGCCACTTCCTCTAATCTTTCGTCTCCTATCTTTATATTCGCTCTTTCCAGTATTTTTGTTTTACTTTTATTTATTTACCATACACTTACCTAAAATTTTTTATCAAGTAAGACATCAGTAATATTAATAATGTATGGTAGAATAAAATAAAAATAACGAATATCATTAAGTGTAGATTTTAAACTGTATTTACCGATATCACAAAAATTATTTGGTTTATCACACATTGGCTTTCTCATTAGGTGGAAGAAAATAATAAAGCAAAGAGATGGTGGCTGCGTGAACATTATATTTCTTAGTATTTATTGTTATGCAGGCATAATAATTATTTAAAAGCAATTTAATAAATTAGAATGATATGTAGTGTTTGAAGTTATACTATGTAGGAATATTTCGGAAAGTAGGGTATTCAGTTAAATATATGGAGTAATGGTTTATTTTAAGATACATTCACTCTGATCTCTGTAACATATACATAGGTTGGTTTTTGAGAATAGTTTTATTTACGTGAAAATGGCCACTATGTGGTTATCGTGAGATTTTGGGTTTAATACGATTTAAAAAACAAAAAAAAACATGAAAGAAAAGTGCTCATCGTGCTGTTGGAAAGCCCATCCACAACACACGGAAAATTCTGAAATATCAGACGAAGACAAAAACGAATTAGGTCAAGATTTATCACCCGATTACGACGATATCGACAAAACAGTAAGGACAAATGTTTTGACTTTCATTTTTATTTAATTTCAATAAGTATCTATTACCTAATATATAATATTTAATTTTAACTTTTTGAAGAATTGAATTTATCATAGAATTTAGTGTTTAGAAGTTATTGAAAAATTGGCAATTTATCAGAAGTTACCGCATACCTAATATTCACTTTCTCACGCTAAATATACGAGGGTGGATTGATAAGTTTCCGGCCTAACCAAGAGATGACGCCACTAGGCCTACCTTGAGGTGACATTCTATAGTACCATCCTTGGATAGCTTGTAGCTATAGTTTCAGCCCGATCTCCTTGCTAGTGTAGGTTTGACAGCACGCTGAACAAGACGCCTCTGTGGTTTTCGTAAAAATGGAAAAGCAGGAAAATCGTGCTGTCATCAAATACTTTTATTTGAAGGGGTTAACGCCGAAGGAAATTAAAAAAGAGATGGACTCAACACTGGGGACATCCTCCCCGTCATATTCAACCGTTAAGCAGTGGGTTTCCGAGTTTAAAAAGGGTCGTGTGAGCACCTCTGATGGGCCTCGCTCAGGACGCCCCGTTGAGGTCACAACTCCAGATATGATCGAAAAAATTCATCAAATAGTGCTGGGAGACCGCAGATTGAAAGTGCGTGAGATAGCTGAGACCTGTAAGATGTCATATGAACGTGTGCAACATATTTTGCACCAACATTTGCATATGGAAAAGCTCTGTGCAAGATGGGTGCCGCGTTTGCTAACAGTCGACCAAAAATTGATTCGAAAAAACATTTCTACCGCAAATTTGTCATTGTATAAGCGTAATCCAAGCGAATTTTTGCGTCGATTCGTAACCGTTGACGAAACGTGGGTCCACCACTACACTCCTGAAACCAAAGAACAGTCTAAACAGTGGATTGGACCAGGGGAACCAACTCCAAAGAAGGCAAAAACAATTTTTTCGGCGAACAAGGTTATGGCTACTGTTTTTTGGGATGCAAGAGGTATTATATACATTGATTACCTTGCAAAGGGTAATACTATCACTGGTCAATACTACGCAGACTTATTGCAACGTTTGAGCCACGAGGTGAAAATTAAACGACCTCATCTGGCGAAGAAAAAAATCTTGTTTCATCACGATAACGCACCAGCGCACACGTCAATCGTTGCGACGGCTAAAATCAACGATCTAAAGTTTGAATTGATGCCGCACCCTCCTTACTCTCCAGACCTAGCCCCGAGTGACTATTTTCTGTTCCCTAATCTCAAAAAATGGCTTGGCGGTAAGAGATTTGCGGACAATGAAGAAGTAATCGAAGCTGTAAATGGTTATTTTGAGGAGCTTGACGAATCAGTCTATAGAGATGGCATTAATAGACTGGAACACCGCTATGAGAAATGTATCAGCCTTGGAGGAGATTATGTTGAGAAATAAAAAAAAAAAAATTTTAAAAACCTTGTTTTTCTTGGTCAGGCCGGAAACTTATCAATCCACCCTCGTAGAACAGCACAAAATTATTGTAGTTCAAAACAATTGTATGCGACATTAAACAGACCATGTTTCAAAATGTTTCTTCGAACGAGGGCAAAAAAACAACCCATTTTTTCTGTTCCTTCCACGGTAGAGGTTAACATGGGACTCCATTATGGATTTAGACTGCTTATAACTATAATTTATTTTATACACGAAACACTTTTTGATATATAATAGTGGTTAATATATCGAATATTAATGTAATTCGAAAATTTCGAGGTGAGAAAACGCCAAAGAAGAATCTTTGGCGTTTTCCAACCCCTGGATTTTCGAACCCATGAGATCCCGACTTCTATCTCGAAGTCTTTTGAACCCCGCAGACTTACCAATTCCGAAGTCATCACACCTCGTGATCTTCGAACTTCGAAGTCTTCAAAGTTTGAAGTCCTCGCTTACCTTGCTTTGTTTCTTTTTTATTTTCTTACTTTTAATTGAAAATTACTTTTTAATGCTTCTTTTCTTTTTATTTACTTTTACAGTTTCCTTTGGAACTTAATTTATTTTCTTTATTTTAACTTTTTCGACTTAGACTTATTTTTAGACACTTGCGTTAAAAACATTTGTCAAATCTGATATTCTTTCAGGTACATTTCCCAACGCAGCCACCAAAAAGGAACCACATCATTAGTCGGTCACTCCAGGATTGCCGGGACCAGCTTCAACAAGGGTAAGTTTATTTTTTTTGTGCTTATATTTAGTGCTGCTTTTCTTTTTTATTATTTATTTTAAACTTTCTAATTAGTTTTTTNTATTGTAGTTCAAAACAATTGTATGCGACATTAAACAGACCATGTTTCAAAATGTTTCTTCGAACGAGGGCAAAAAAACAACCCATTTTTTCTGTTCCTTCCACGGTAGAGGTTAACATGGGACTCCATTATGGATTTAGACTGCTTATAACTATAATTTATTTTATACACGAAACACTTTTTGATATATAATAGTGGTTAATATATCGAATATTAATGTGAAAATATTCAATTTCCATTTATACCAACTATAAATTACCTCAAGTTAATGAGCAAAAATTTGTGTTGTCGGGAATCGAATGTTCTGACCACTAAGCTACGAGACCTAAAGGTCCCGGGTTCAAATGCCGACGAGGATGTGATAGCAGCAACAACAAAGTTTTAATAATAATATTAGATATAATTTATTTGTTCATTATTTGCATGCAATTGTTGTTAAAAGTGTTTCACGTTTTGGAATGGTACCCTTAAATGGAACCCATTTTAAACATGCAAGCATACTTTGATTGGCAGTGGTAGCACTATTATATCATCATCAGATCGTCAGTCTTAAGACTGGTTGGATACGCACCTCCACTCTTTCCTATCCTGACTTAATCTTTGCCTAAACTTTCCTAACACTAGAACACTGACATCCGTAACTATTTGTGTACAGTAATCTAATCTAGGTCTACCTCTACTCCTCTTAATTCCTGTTTCTGCTTCTAATATATCTCTAATTAGTCCTTCATGTCTGAGAAGGTATCCTACCAACTTATGTTGCCCAATTCTTGTTGACATTCATAGCGCCTTCTGTTCTCCTGCCCTTTCTAATACTTTCTCATCTCTAACCTTTTCTATCTTAAACTGGTGTATCACCTGCAAGTCTAATCTTTTGCCCCTGTGTATCTATCCCTAAAGTTGCCCTGTCTTTAATGATATTTATCGCCTCTTAGGTATTTAGATTAAAAAATATCGATGACAGAGTGAATCTGTCTAAATCAAGTTGTTGCGATGTATCTACTTATTACGAAAGAAAATCCAGAGAGGGTGTAGTACACAAGTCCACATCCGCCTTTATACCAACGCCTACTATAACTTAATTACTTGCGTAAAGATTTAGTCGTTTATTTCTTGGAAAATTTTTGACAGTTTTCGAAAATCATGCTTAAATATACCAAGCCACCAGAAGTGGTTCGAAGTAGTACAGCACGAAAAGTTACATTTAAAATAGATAATGCAACAAATACAAGTTCGTCAGATTCCGACGATAGTGTCGAAGTTAATATGGGCAGTCAACTTCTACTGGTAACTGTATAAAGGAAATATACTTACCATTCAAATTGTATTATTGAGTTACTTACGTTTTTAAAGGAAATAGACTTCAGATTCACTATTCTAAATGGAAAGATTCATATATCAGATAAGATATCAGGGGTATAGACCACGAGTTGGTCACTCTGCCGTAGGTCATACATTCGAGAAAGGAAAATCGCAAAAACTGAATTAACGCATATATTGGGTACTCTTGTCTTATTAACTAAAAACGCCCTATAATTCTCAATTACGCAAAGTGTCGAGGGTTATGTGAACTTGAATGCTTGCGGTTTTAATATATAGAGTGGACCAGCACATGGGCCAGAACATTCAATGCATGAGCCTTGATCCACACGACTCCACCCGTACCTATGTCTCTGACCAGTTAGTTAATTTTAAAGGAATTTTCAAGGTTCTGAATTTACTATCAGCACTAATTGCACCCGAAGGCGTCTTATGACTTATGGCATACGTGCTGAGAAGAGAGAGATGAGTTCAAAAGCAGGACCACGGTTAAAAATTCTGCACCAACTAAGATCGTCCTGAGAACAAACACTCTGAGTTTGAGCTGTAGCCCACCCAATCACGCTAGTTACTCTCACATTCGTTTCGTACTTGTTATATGTTCACATTATCATTGATAATTTTGGATTTAACGGTCGGATTCGTCGGAAGTTTTTTGAGACATCTAGGTTTAAAACAAGTTTGTAATCGTCCTCCTATGACGTACCGTTTCAGAATTATCGTTGTCGATAGTTTTGACGTTGTGTTATAATTTAAAATTGAAGATGAAATGAAAGAAAGGAGAGCATAGCTACCGAATTGTTAAAGATAGCTCATAAATTCTACTGGTGTGGATAGGACAGAGTTCATTTTAAATGAAGGAAATGTCTAAAATGTTTGAATAGCGCCGAATGCTCCCGTAGATATCTTACGACATTTGGGCAAACTTGGGAAAAAACAAACAGCTTCCCAACTAGAATTTATAGGGGGCATGTCCCATGTAGTGTACGGGTCTCATGTGGCTAATGAGGGGGTATGCCGATACAGGGATTTCTCCGTATGAAAATCCCACCAAAAAGAAGTGATGGTACTAAAATGATAATTGCCTTATGGGTTTTTCTGGGGTCTTAAGGGGCAAACTTATCACATGTATAAACTTACAATTAAATTTACCTTATGGGGGCTCGATAAGGCAAATTCCTTTGGGAATATTCTCGGTAAAATGAAAAAACTTATAATAATAATCCCCTTGCCCAACTATGTTGTCGCTTCAATGAAATCTTTTACATTTGCAATGAATCAACAACTTTACTTCCTGATATTGTTATTATAAGAGAACTGAAACCAGACGCATCCGATCGAACAACATTAAAATGATTGTATTAAAGTATTATTGACTACAAAAGAGCCCAATAACACAATCTTACTTAAGAGCAAACAAATTTTACAAATAAGTGATATATGTATATATTGTATTTTTGTCTTTAATGATAAAGTTCATTTTTCCGTAAATTTTTAATGGGTTAGCAATAATTTATCACTGCAAGGGGCCACATGCTGCATTCCTGATAATGGGCAAATGTGGCAAGACGTTACATGCCCCTTCCTTGTCGTAGGGACACAGGCGGATTAAATGTCGAGAGCGCTCTAGGCTAGCACCTCATAGACGCCCCTCTGGCGGTCATATATTTTGCAAAATACTTTTTTTTTATTAAGCACTTCCTTATTTTTTTTTAGGTTTAAAAACTTCCGCGCCCCTTTTTAACCTTGCACCCCTAGGTATATGCCTATGTCTTATGGATAATCCGCCACTGCGTAGGGGGTAATCTCATGGGGCCCACAAGAGCTAGTGTGGCTACCCACTTAAGAGACTCTCAAAATTCTAGTCGGTTGTGAAAGAAGTATTCTGAAAAAAGAGCTACTATTTCCTAGCTACAGACTAATAGGCAGCCAATTTAAAAGAGAAATCCCACAAGCAGGACTACGGTTGAAAGTTTGTAGTCCCAGAACGCGACATCCCAAATGTACTTGCTAGGGCTCTTTTGAAGCCCAAGTGTCATGGCCAATTTTTGATGTAAACAGTTATGAAGAAGGGCAGTCCAAAACTGAGCTGCAGCCGACCCAATTGACACCAGTTCCCTCACTTTCGTTTCGTCGTTTAGTCCACAATATTGCCGATAGTTATGAATTCAACTGCCAGATTCCGATGAGGATACCACTAAATTTTTTTAGAGATACCTAAGCCCAAAACATGTTCATAATCGTCTTCCTATAATGTACGGTTTTAGAATTATCGCCGTCGATAATTTGGGCGGCGTGATATAATTGAAATCGAAGACTAAGCGTCCAACAGAGCTGGGGAACTTTTAAAGATAACGAAAACATTCTTCCTGTGAATGGGATTGATAACGTTATCATAAATGCGTGGTATTCATTTTTTAAAATATATTATGAAGAAAGAACTCCTTATTTATTCTGCGAAAGAGGAGTTTTTAGAGATATGTAATTCCATTTGTTCAAAATCTGGACATGTTTGGATTTCTCTCAGAAGTTTTCCGATATTTTTTTCCAACTAACTTATGTCACTTGTATCACCGTGTTATCAGCATTATTTAGTCAGAGGAATGGGTAAGGCATTTACTTTTTTAAATGAGGTCAGAGTTTCTATTGGTGGTCTCGTTTACGTTTGAGCTTGCGCTGTTAGTGAAATCGCGATTCTGTAGTCAATAAACGCGTGTAAAATGTGAACATCTGGACAACGCCTCTTCGTTGAAGTTCCTTTGTTGTAATTAATAAAAACACAAAGCAGAACGCTCGCTATGGACTCTGATTCAATTGAAGTAGCCGAAGAATGTGTCGAAGGCACATTTTGTGTCGTTGACGAGGTACTAGCGAACGCTCGATTTAGTAGGTACTACAATGACTTAATAATGGTTTAATCAATTAACATTCTAAATGAGTTGAACCGAGGCTATTTTTCGCCATCGGCGGTGATGTAATGTTTTTAATGAGTTCGTTACGACTACGACGCTAGTTTACCTACAATTACATTTGCACATACCTACTATACATCTACATAGGATTTTCATTTTAGTCACTCATCATCAGATATGGCATAGGTATTCCTTTTTATAATGACTTTGTTTTTAACGGAATGAGACTGTAATCATTTCGTCGGTGTGTCATAGTTCGTAACATGTGTCGATGTTGTTCGTTTTGCTTTAAAAAAAATGAAGGAAATCCGAGGCCGTCATTCACCTGTTATTGTTTTCCACAGCATGGTTTACCTTATCGCGAACTGTTGCCCATCGTACTCCAGGTCGGTAGAGCAATCTGCATCAGGGGGAAAACTTTGGAAAACTGTACCAGGTAGTTGTGAAATTATGTTTTACTGTCTAAGATTTTGTTTACCTACTTTGGATGAGGAATGTGATAGAAAGTATGTCATACCATACGTTTAAAGATAAATTTGTTTATTTAAGTCGGGAAATTATTGTCAGTTATGTGGAAAATATGTATGACTAATTTTTATCCATGACTAAACTTTTATAATTTTTGTTTGATGATATTTTCAATACAAATAAGATGATGTTTTATCCATCTTATCTGAAATTCAATTTCTATGGTTGCACTCCAAATTCAAGAAAATAGTTTGAAGATTAAAATTAAACTCTTCTTAAATTAGGTGAAAATTAATTTGAAACTATTCAACCATTGTTTTAAAAATGTGCACAATACAATTAAATTAAGTAAACAAAGGTCGATTTGTATTAACTGAGTTGCCAAAATTAATCTAATTACAATTAATACAATTTTTAGATTTTCCGTCAACTTATTATGTGGTCTTGAACCCAAATCGAACGTAGCGCTACATTTCAATCCCCGATTGGATCAGAATTATGTAGTGAGAAATAGCAGGATTTTGGGAAAATGGGGTGAAGAAGAAACTACGGCTTACTGCAGACCAAATATGAGATGGAACGAAGACTTTTTTCTCGAATTCCTCCCAACATCTAATGAATTTATGATTGCAATTAATAACAAGCACTTTTGCAAATACTCGCATAGGATTCCAATTAATAAAATAACAGCACTGGTTGTAAGCAGCAAGGTGGGCAAAATCGATGTGTCTTTTGAAGCTCGAAAATCATATCCCGATTTTACAAAATATCCCATAGAAGAACTACAAATTATTGATGATGAAAATTACGTTCCAACCAATAATTTTAAGGTAAGTTATGTTGAATAAAATAATTCGAAGTGGTCTGTATTCTGTCGAAACTGCCAGACGCAGATCGCGATTTCGATCTTCCTGGGTCTCATCAGCGCGTCGCAGACAGCTCCGACAGAATACACACCAATTTTTACCTGCTGCCTTAACAGCGCGTTTTAGAAAATACCACAAACGGCGCGGTAAACGCCATCTGTAGTACGATGCTACAGTTTAGGATTACGTATGCTCCAACAAGGTCCATTTAAATATATGGATATTCACTTGCTGAAACGAATCCCGACGTAGCTTACCTCAACGTGGTAGGCACGTTATCATAATCGAATAAAATAATATTTTTGGATTTCATCAGCGCGTCGCAGCCAGCTCCGACAGAGCACAGACTAACTTTTACCTGCTGTCTTAACTTTAGTTAGCTACGCCGGGATTCGTTTCAGCAAGTAGATATCCACGTATTTAAATGCACCTTGTTGAAGCATACGTAATCCTAAAATGTAGCATCGTGCTACAGATGGCGTTTACCGCGCCATTTGTGGTATTTTGTAAGTTATGTTCTTTAGACAATAAAATTGAAAAATAATTTTTTACATTATTTATATTCCACTCTAAATCCTAAATAATATTACAAATGCGAATGTTGGCTAGTTTGTTTGTTTGTTACCATTTTACGCCTTACCTACTTAGTCGATCATCAAATTTTGTACACACAATGTTAGGGGTACAGAAAGTAATATAGGGTATCTGTTATCTAGAAAAATAAAACCATTCCCTAGGGATAGAAAAATTTATTGTATTCTTTGTAAAGTGTATGTTTAATCGTGAAAATTAGAATTATCCTAATGATCCTGGTCACTTATTTATCAAATTATCGTATTTTTGATTATCTTTTACACTTATTTAAGACATGAACACGAGCGAAGCCGCGGGTAAAATCTTGTATTCTATAAATATACTTATGTCACATTTATATCGAAAATTCTGTTCACAAAGTGGTTCATTTTTGGCGCGAAATGTTTAAGTATGTTTACCCCTATTTTTCTATTTAATATGTAAAATATGAATGCCATATAGTACAGCGTCCAATCACATTAATTACCTTAATTAGTGATAAAAGATGAAAAACAACTAATATCAAACGCCAAGGTGATTGTAGATTAAAAATTAAACCATTTTTAGCCACTGCCCTATTGTGGTCGCCTTCCAGAGAATTTCATAAATAATTATCAAGTGACGATTTACGGAAGGGTAAAGCTGCTTCCAAGAACGTTTTATATCAACCTTCAAGAAGGATTTCACTTGTGGCCGCACCCTATCATACACTTGCATATTAACCCTCGGTTTTGTGAGTACCAATTATTTTTCATGTATATTTATGGGGGAATTAGGAGAAGCTAATGTGGTCAAAAAATGCTCCAGAAAATAACTGATCAATTCTTTCATTACAAATAAACATTAAACACAATGTTGCTGTAAAAATTGTTTTGACATTAAATTTCTGAGGGTTGTTCGGAAAGTCATTTCGTTTTTTGTTGTGGAAATGAAAGACAGTTTTCGTATAATAAACAAATACTTTATTAAATTATATATTGACCGTTCTGGTCCAACACCTTTTGCCATCTTTCTGGTAGTAGCATAATTCCACGCTCATAAAATTTTTGGTCTTTGCTGGCAAAAAACTGATCGAGGAGGTTTTTGACCTCCTCATTTGAGGTGAAGGTTTTACCGTCTAAAAAATTTTGGAGTGACCGGAACAAATAATAATCCGATGGTGCCAGGTCTGGAGAATATGGTGGGTGTAGCATTGTATCCCATTGAAGCTGTAAAAGCTTTTGGCGAGGGACCAAACTTGTGTGAGGTCTCGCGTTGTCTTGGTGAAACACTACACCTTTCCTGTTGATTAGTTCTGACCTTTTCTGTTGAAGTGCATCATTCTATCCCATTCAAGCTGTAAAAGCTTTTGGCGAGTGACCAAACTTGTGTGAGGTCTCGCGTTGTCTTGGTGAAACACTACACCTTTCCTTACTTCTGACCTTTTCTGTTGAGCTGCATCATTCAGTTTGTCCAGCTGATGACAGTAGACTTCCGAATTAATCGTTGTGTTATTCGGTAAAAGCTCAAAAAAAACGATTCCTTTAAAATCCCACCAAACAGACAGCATCACCTTTTTTTGGTGAATATCGGCTTTGGAAATGGTTTGAGCCGGTTCATCTTTTTTGCTCCATGACCTCTTGCGTTTGACGTTGTTGTATACAACCCATTTTTCGTCCCCAGTGATGATGCGCTTCAAAAACGGATCATTTTCGTGACGTTTGAGAAGCGAATCGCAGACGTCAATGCGGCGACACAGATTTCTCTCTGTGAGAACATGGGGAACCCATACATCGAGCTTCGAGGATAATCCCAGGCCTTTCAAGTGGTCATAAACTGTTGAATTTGATAAATTTAACCTCAATCCGATCTCACGTGTTGTTATTCGCCGGTTCACATCAACTAATGCCTTTATCGCGTCTTTATCAGCTTCAACCGGCCTTCCCGAACGTGGTGCATCTTCGACATCAAAATTGCCGGATCGAAATTTAGCGAACCAGTTCTGGCACTGGCGTACTGTCAACACACCTTCTCCATACACATCAGTCAATTTCTTTCTGGCTTGAACAGCATTTTTACCCTTTCTGTAGTAAAACAGTAAGATATGTCGAAAATGCTGCTTATCGCTCTCCATATTTAAAAGGGCACCAACCAAAAACTACTGCGTAGAATTAATTGGAATTTTTCACACACAAGCCTTGCTATATGAGCTCTCAAAGCATATAAAAATTATACGGCTTAAATGTGAAGTTGGGTGCAAAAGAATACAATTAAATCCTCTGTCGAGAAAAAACGAAATGACTTTCCGAACAACCCGATATTTATGGGTTGTTTAACAAGCTATAGAAAAATATTAATCTACTTGTTAATTCAACCATTTGGCTACATATCTATAAAAGCATTTTCTACTCTTAACTAAAGAACTATAGGAATTTACTTATGTTCAAATACTTTACATTGACTGCAATTGATTACTTGCTTTTATTTCTCATTCTTGCCGATAACTATTTTCTTAAAGAATATTTACATTAGAAGGTAATCATGGTTTAAGTTTAATCAGTTTTCCGTAATTTCTGTAAAAATTTTTTAGTGGGAGCGACGGATAAGAATCAATTGATTAAAAATTCATGGATCGATGATCAGTGGGGTACTGAAGAACGATGTGTAGCATTCCCCTTTCGTCCCGGAAAAGAATTCTGCATGACTTTGTATGCGGAAGATAGTCAATCGTTTAGAGTTTGGGTCGATAACGTTTTGATAGCCGAGTTCCAATCAAGAACATCAGTGACAAATATCGACCACGTTTTTATACAGGGCGATGTTGTAGTCTTTGATGTACACGTCGAACCGAAACACACAACAAAGATATCGTCTCATCACTCTTCACTAACGGTACGACGGCGGCACACTTTGACAAAGCGCTCGAGTATTTTTTATAATTCATAGAAAAAAGTGAAAAATCCTCCACGATAAAATTTAAAATTACGAGTACCTTGTCTGAAGGATTTCTCAAGAACAGTATTGAGGTAAAAATTTATTAAAGTTAGCTTAATTAGGCAACTTACCGGGAAGATTTCCTTTTCTTTTCTGCAAATTCTAGTTCGTATTTCTCGCGCCCTTGAGAACCCGGGGGAAGTTTCTGTAACAAACGAGAATAACTTTTTTAAAAGTGTGAAACGTGATTCAAGATGATCAAAGCATCTTTGATATTATTGGGGGCCTTATCAGAACTGCATATTATACAATACGTACCACAAGACTTACATTGTACATACTTAGATATTATACCTATTGTATCAATTTATTATAAACGGTGTTGATATGTTGCTCTGTGAAAAATAAAATCAAATAAATATAGCTTTTTGTTGATATATGAATAAGTATTGTATGTAAAGGTTTAATAAAGTTTTTTTATTCTTTAAAGTAAATCAAATACTGTCTCATGCATTCAGTTTCATTTCTGATTTCATAATTCTCTCCAATCAGATTATCTCCTTGTGGATATAGTTGTAATTTATAATTCTATAGTTCTTTTTGGGAATAAGTCGTTAAGTAATTTGAGAAATTATAATAGTTCATATCTTGTCTTTCATATAAACTATACTGGGCAGTAGCTACTTATTTAAAGTGAAATTGTAATTTCTTTTGGATTGCAAAAAATGGGAATCTTCATCGTAAAGAAAGCCTTCTTCTGTAAAACCAAATCATTTTGGAAAATATCAAAAACGCACGCAAAAGTTTGGTCCTCTTCCTCGAATTTGTAAATACCCTTAACGTGAAATTCAAATTTTGTTTGTTCACTGCATAGAAAGCATTTTTGGGTAATTTCAAGTTATTTTGAAAAATATCAAAAAGTCAAACTAAGGTTTGAAATTTGAATTTCAATTATGTAAAAACAGAAGACATTTTGCAGAGGTATAGATCATTTATTTAAATTAAAATTGACACTTAATTTTAACATTTAAAAAGACTACATTATATCGAAAAATATCAAAAACTCAAGCCAAAATTTGAAATGTCTCTCGATTTTGTAAAAACAGGGGTCACTTTGCAGGACCGTAGCTCACTTATTTGAAGAGAAATTTAAATTTAATTTGAACCTTTAAAAAGGGCAGACTTCACTGCATAGTAAGCCATGTTTGGTGGTCCCTACTTATATCGAAAAATATGGAAAACTCAAGTTGAAGTTTCAAATATTTCTCAATTTTGTAAAAACAGAATTCTTTTTGTAAGTTTTAAAAAGGCCAGACATTGCATAGAAAGTCTTGCTCAGTGGTACCGTAAAATAAGGATTGAATTTAAGGTGCAACCTAAATTTCTTTTGATCCCATAGTGGGAGTAGACAATGGAATACCTTCTTCGATGAGTTAAAATTGATTTCAAAGTATGTTAAAAACGTAGGTCATGACTACACAATTTTCCCGGTTTTCCAACAGTAGAAAGATTACTTAGCAAGACTGCAGCTTGAATTACTATTCAAGTTCTTCCTTTAGCTTTCAACCACTGGATGGCATAGCAATGCACTCTGTTTGTACTTTCTATAACGTTGATGTAGGTAATAGGAACAAGTTTTAAAGTTATGTATAAAATTGCCATGACTTTTTAGATAGTTTCATAAAGAAGTATATAAAAATAAAACTGTCAACAAAATAAATAATTAATAATGCAAAATAAGTTTTTGGATACTCTTCATAAGAACTCATCAAATCTATTTGTAAACTACAAAGGTTTGCAACAATTCAAACTAATAGAGTACTAGTTGTTTTAATAACACAAAAGATTAATTACTTTAAAAATAGTATATCTGTTAATTAAACTTGCAACTACCTTTGTAATTTTCATTTTTTAATGAATTTTGCACTTACAAACTGAGGACATATACATTAAAAGTTTATTTAAACTCCGCCAGTATACACCATATACCTTTGAATTTCATTGTGAAGCTAGAAATCCAACTGAAAATTAGTATGCTTAGATTTGCAGATGACATAGCAGTATTAGCATCTAGCAAGGAGGACCTAGAGATAGCTTTAAATAAAATGGAAGCGGTACTGACAGATCAGTACTGTATGAAAATAAATAAAAGTAAAACTAAAATACTGGTATGCAAGGGAAGAAAAAGTAGGGAAAGAGCGAATATAAAGATAGGAGTCGAAAAATTAGAAGAAGTGGCTGATTTTAGATACCTAGGAAGTCAGATAAGTCAAGATGGAAGGAGTAGTAGGGATATAAAGCAGAGGATCGCCTTTAATAAAAAGAAGTCACTTCTGTGTTCGCGAACGGAAATTCGATAAAGGTTGTTAAAGGTGTATATTTGGGGCACGGCGCTGTACTGGTGCGAAACATGGACAGTGGGCGCGGCGGAAAAAAAAGGTTAGAAGCGTTCGAAATGTGGTGTTATAGGCGGATGATGAGGATATCGTGGGTAGAAAAGGTTAGAAATGAAGAGGTATTGGAAAGAATAGGAGAACAGAGGACTCTATGGAATTCAACAAAAAATAAGCGAGATAGGTTGGTAGGACACCTTCTCAGGCATGAAGGTCTAGTCAGAGAACATATTAGAGGCAGAAACGGGAGTTAGGAGGGGTAGAGGTAGACCTAGATTAGATTTCTGTTCGCAAATAGTTAAGGATGTGGGTTGTTCTAGTATTAGGGAAATGCGAAGTTTAGCTCAGGATAGGAAAGAGTGGAGGTCGTGTCCAATCAGTCTTAGGACTGACGACCTTATGATGATGATGAAAAAGAAGATAAACTAAATAATTTGAAATAATAAGTAAAAAGCGCAGTATCAAAACATATCCACCTCTTTTTGATATCGTTTCAATCATCATTCTTTCGTTCCTTCAAAGAATAAAATAAAAATAGTTTCTAGTTTAAAGAAAACGTCGAGATAATCCGACAAATTGGTGCACGTATTATCCGGTGCGGCAATTTGTGGAAATGATTCCCGTTTCCGGACGATGAAGTCTCAGGGTCTCTGCTAAACCGTCTTCAGTCTTAGTTTCTCATATAGCATGTCATCTAATGCATCGTCTAGATGGAATTTAGTAGAGAGAGCAATAAGCTCAGCGCTAGAATGATAAATAACTGATTCTCGCCTGTTCTGTTCCTCCCTGTGACTGACCCCCATGTCTCCCACCCATTGCACGAATTAACCATTGATCATTCATTCACCTGTTTCGGTCCCGCAAATATCCGTCTGTCATTTCTGTTTTGTACCGAGTAATCAGAGTTTAATTGTACCGGAACGCTTGCTTGTCATAAAGACAAATATTCGCGATGCTTTTATTCAGCGATAGACGCATGGCCCGAATTCCCAATGCAAATTATGCCGACCGTTGTTATCATTGAAGCTAATGGTCGGATCGTATTACGTTGTGGAATAACAAAAGTCCCGATCTTTTTGTAATCGAGACCCATAAAAAAATATGATGTACCACAGTTATTCATTAAAGATTGTAGAAACTGTTGACGTATTGTGAAATTATTGAAATACTGTATTCATATCTTCCATACACTTTGTGGGTATATTATGAATTAATTCAGAAAGATTGCAATACACTAAAAACCATTTTCAATAAAATCAATGAAAATTACAGCAGGGTGACAATACGTATGTAATAGTTTCAAAGAAAAAAAGGTTTATTTTTACACAAATATTCGGAGAAACTTTAGCAATTGGTTTGATTTCTTAATACGTTTCCGAAGAGTTCTTGGAAATATAACAGATAATATACATTCATTTTGTGTTTCCACCATTAGCAATCGCTTAACTCCCCCTGTTACGTTTTGACCATTGACATTCCTAGACTCCGCTAGAGACGACCCAACACGCGCAATTTACCCTATCGTTCATTTTAGCGTTTTCCTGAGTCCACAATATTACCCATATTTCCAGCTACAACTCGCAAAACGTCAGTTTTAGGACCAGAGCGCTCGCAAACATGCCCGCGATTAAAAATCCATAGCTCCACAGATGTACGTCCGATCCGTACCAAAATGAGCTCGTTCGAGGCGCAATGAATGCGGCAAGTTTTCGACTGAAGCACTATTCAATTGTGACACTTCTGGTCCGCGCCAGAGCCGACCCAATTCGCGCAATTTACTTTTTGTTTCCTTTAGTGTTTTTCTGAGGCCACAAGATGGGCCCTGTTTCCGGACTGAGTGGTCCGATCACAATGGAGGTACTATCAAAATTTTCTAGGAATACTGTGCTCTGTGCCGAGAGCAAAAGCGCCCACCTACGAGGTCCCGTTTCGTAGTTATGGCTGTCGGAAATTTTTGCCAAGTGTTAAAAATTTAAGAGAACATATCTGGCCAACGGATAACACTCCCCAACATCAAAATTTATCATAGGGTCTCATAGAGGATATTGTCGGTGATTACAGATGATAATGCGGTTTGCCACCTTTCCATGAAATGACGTTGCTTAATCAATTTTTGGGTGATAAATAAAAGTTAAGAAAACTGTGCGAGTAGCCAAGATAGTCACGCATTTTCTTAATTTAAAACGTGATAATTTATGAAAACTATTTATCAACGCTTCTAGCGAGGAACGTTTCCGTTTTAGAAACCGTATCAGCGTTTTTGCAGTTCCCGTACAGTCGCGCGTTTTTAAGTCGACGAGTCTTTATCGCCCTGTAAACACAGATATAAGTAATCGCTCCAATTTTGTCGTGTGCTCTGCTCCCTTCTGACGTGTTCAACGGGGAGAAGGAGTAGCGAAACCGACTGATATTTATTTTCCGTCTTATTGCTTCCCTTCTTATCGCCGATGATACATTCTAATGTTATTAAGTTTATTGCGCCAATTTTTAAAAGTTTTTCGCGAAAATGAGTTACGATCCGTACGTGATTGTTTGTCTTCGGACAATAATTCTCTGCGTTCTTACGTCCATGTCTGTGTGTGTTCGAGGATTGAGTCAGGGGCGTATCAAGGAAATTTTCTAAATCGGAACAGATTCTTGGCAAATATATACGAAACTCGATACGGTCTAGAGCCTCATTATGTTTCATATATGTCCTTCCTATCAACTTGTTCATTTCCTTAGATTAATGTCTTTTGTTTTTGGTACAAAGGAATCACTACAGTAGGAGATGCTCTTCTGTCGGTAATCATCATAGGGTCGTCAGTCCTAAGACAGGTTGGACACGTACCTCCACCCTTTCCTATTCTGAGCCAAACTTCGCATTTCCCCAAAACTAGAAAAAAAAACTTTTGGGTGTTTCATTCCCACCAGCCAGTAATGCTGATGGGCGGGCAGTCCCTCCGGACTACGCCGGAAGGTAGGGTGGAAGGCCCTCTTCAGCCTGCATTCAGGAATCGTGGGAATGGGTGGGTGGTGGTTCGGGTGAGAAAGATGAGACGG